GCAGAGCAGAGCAGAGCAGAGTAGAATAGAATATAGAATGGAAAATAGAATAGAATAGAATAGAATAGAATAGAATAGAATAGAATAGAGAATGGAAAATAGAATAGAGTAGAATAGAATAGAATAGAATAGAATAGAATAGAATAGAATAGAATAGAATAGAATAGAATAGCTGGAAGGGACCTTGGAGGTCTTCTAGTCCAGCCCCCTGCTCAAGCTGGAGACCCTATACCATTTCAGACAAATGGTTGTCCAATCTCTTCTTAAAAACTTCCAGAAGGTTCCAGAAGAAATAGAAGGCTGTTGGAGTCAGAAGGATATTATCTGAGATTTGGGTGGCACAAATATCTATATGAGAAAACTAACGTTAATGTCAATTTCATAAATCATTATGTCATGTGGGCTATTTTTAAAGTATGAAATAAATCTAGGTTGTGCCCAAAAATACCTTTATGGCTCTCAGCTAAGAAGCATTTTATAGATAATAAGTAAACATAAATGTTTAACTTATTGTGACATACTAGGATTTTCTCAAGGAGACTGTAAAATAAAATCAAGAGAAGATTTGATAATAGAAACATATGTTTGTCAATGGTTTTCCTATGCACAATTATTAGAAAAATTTAAAGTGGGTAAAAGATGTTACGGTTTTGAACAACGCAGAGTGACTTTGAAATAGAATTATGTGCCAGTGATGACCATGCTATTGCTAAAATGTATAAACTTTTGTTGAAATATGAGACAGACGAAGAACAAGCGAAATAACGTATACTAAAATGGGCTAAATATTTTGGTTACAATATACAAATGGATCACTGGGAAAATGGGTGGTTGAAAGAATTGAAAAATTCTTGGTATTTGTCACCAGAAAAATCATCTACAATGTACAATGTACAAATTATAAAGATACTTCAAATTTATGCTGTAAATGTGAATAACATGAAGTTACATTATATCATGTGTGGTGAACATGGGAAAAAAGCTTTAAAAAAGGATACAAATACATATATTAATGCAGAAGATTTTAAAGACTAATGCTCAATTAAATCAGAGGCTTTTCTTTTGGAATTAATGGACAGATATCTAGAAAAAAGCCATGGGATGTTGTTTTTCTATATGAAAATTGCAGAGAGATTATTATATCCCAAAACTGGAAGGATTCTGCACCACTCATAATGGTTGGTGAAGATGGTGAAATTTTCAGAGATGACGAAACTAACTTTCTTGATTAAAGAAAAGACTGTATCTACATTTCTGGCTGACTGGAAACTCCTTAGACTTTTTTTTTTTCATGAAATGGGGAAAAAATGGCACAATGATTTTTTATTCTGAAAACTAGAAAATAAAATTAGATAGCAGAAAAAAAAGTGAGGGTCTTTTTTCTTTGTAATCATAGAGTAGGGGAGAACTTTGTAACCATACTTGTATTTGCTGCAGAGAAATAAGGAAGCTTTTTTCTTTCTATTTCTTTTCACCTTTTCTTTCTGCCCTTTTGCTTTTTCTTCTTTCTCTGTTTTCTTTATTCTGTATTAGTTTGTGTTTTATTATGTCTTATATATAGATCCAATGGTGGGATTCAGGCAGTTCACATCAGTTCGGCAGAACCGGTGGCTAAGTTTTTGTTGCCAGGCCCAGAATGGACTTCCGGAAGTGGTATCCATACAGAGAACCGGTTGTTCCCATATCTGAATCTCACCACTGCCTACAAGGGTTGGGAATCTGGAATCAGAATCAGAATAGAGTGAAGGGATCTTGAGGGTCTTCTAGTCCAACCCCCTGCTCAAGCAGGAGACCCTGTGTCCAGTGGTGGGAATCAGCCAGTACATACCACTTCAGCAGAACCGATAGCTAATTTTTTGTTGCGCAGGCCCAGAATGGACTTCCGGAAGCGGCATCCATACAGAGAACTGGTTGTTCACATATTTGAATCCAACCACTGATATAGATCAAAGCAGCACATCAGATACTGCACACAACTACAAACTCAGGAATCCAGTGAGGGGCTCCTTCAGTTCATGTCTACATGACAACTAAGTGGAAGGATTAAGTTAGTAAGTGGAGTTATCGAGAAAAATAAAGTATATATTATTACAGAACTTAATTCTATAGGCAGGAAACACCCACCACACTAAGTCTTCTCTTCCTGTGGTATGTTGAACAAGCTAACATGGCTTGGTTCGTACATAATGTGAAGCACACAAGGGCTGGATTCCCTAGCAAGCTATGTCAAAACTCACCAATATAGTGATCTAACCAAGCCACTTGGGGTACCACTCCGTACAAAAGCGACATCTCCCCTGCAGTGTTTTGGTGAAACTACAAGGGAGAGGCCAACTTGTTCATCAAATATGTTTTTAATCATTCTCATGTGCTTGAATTACATCCCATCCCATTGAACCTTTTTGGTCCTGACCTCTTGGACAAAGTCTCTCATTTCTGTAAGCTTACCCCAGCCCACTGCACCTTCATGCATGTGTCTGGCTTGCTTATGTAATTTCCTGACCTCCCTGCATATGTTTTATCCCTCCTGTTTCTTAATTCAGCTATTTGGGGTATTAGACTATTAACTGTACCTGACCTCTCTCCCAGACTAACTGAGCATAACTGCTGGAACTGGGAACGCTTGCTAATCTGTCAATGTCCAGCTCTTTTTTCAAGAGAAGAGGGCTAAGAGAACATTGCTTAATTGGGGCAAGAGACAGCAGGCTAAAAAAGAAGTTTTTAAGGCACTGTTTCTCAAACCTTGGCAACTTTAAGATGTATGAACCTCAACTCCCAGAATTCCCCAGCCAGCCGGGGGAAAAAGCCCATCCATCTTGAAGTTGCCAAGGTTGAGAAACACCATTTTAAGGCATCATTTGGCTTTGCAAGCTGAAGGTGGATGAATTTCACCAGTTGGCTATGGAACAGTGCTGGGCTTGACGAGTGTCTTGCGTGCACACCAGTCTCTGCCTTCCTACTTACAATTCCAATGTACTTAGCAGGACTGTTCGGAAGGCAAATACAGGTAGTCCTCAACTTACAACCACAACTGAGCCCAAAAATCTATGCTGCTTAGTGAGAAACTTGTTAAGTGAGTTTGGCCCCATTTTACGAATTTTCTCGCCACATTTATTAAGTGAATCACTGCAGTTCTTCCATTAGTAAGCCAGTTGTTAAGGGAATCTGGTTTCCCCATTGACTTTGCTTGTCAGAAGGGGATCACATGACTCTGGGATCACTGCAACCCTCTAAACGTGCGTCAGTTGTCAAGCATCCGCATGTGAATCACGTGACTTTGGGGATGCTGCAAATGATCATCAGTCACATTTTTTCAGTGTCGTTGTAACTTTGAACAGACATCTAATGAAATGTTGTAAGTTGAGGACCACCTTTATTTAGGAACAACAGAGGATGCTTTTCCATCGTTAGGCCCCTCTTGAGGGGCAGGAAGCCACCATGAGAAAGGGCTCATGGTTTTCATGCAGGGTTACCATCAAATCAGAGGTGCTTAAACAAAACACAAGATGCTATTTTCATTATCTATAGCAGACTATCATTGTCCCTGATCTTTTACAGAATACAAAAAATCTGGGGTTGCTGTCCTAAGGAGCATACAATATCAAAAACAATGGGCTGGTAGAATTATTCTGCTCTCCTATGGTATTTCTCTCACCACTGAAGCCCTGGAGGAACAAGATAGGAAAGGAAAAATGTAGAAAAGTTGAAATTGTCTGGGAAGAATTATACCAGATTCTAAACTTTGGGATTGCTGTGGCTTCCCTCTTTTAGAGTGTCTTCTTTGCAAAATGTCGGTCTTGGGAAATGGCTATGTTTCTTAACTCAAGCAGAAATAACTTCACAATGTACTTCTTGACTAACACGTTCATGCCTTGGTCAACAATCTCTTGTTGTGAAAGCTTTAAACTGACATTTGAATTTGCTGATGTCTCTTTGGTGCCTCCTGCTATTTCCTCAACCTCTGCTCCTCTACACCACTCCAAAGGTTAGAATTCCTTCCAGTCTTGGTTGACAAACTTCAGACTCCCAGCTGTAGCTATGAATGCTTCTCAAATGCAATCCTGTTTTGTAATTTGGTGGCCTTGATGCATCACTTCATGAAGCTTTGGACTCTGTGCTAATGATAGATTGCCCAGCAAACACTAATCTCCGTTATGTCCCATCCAATTGTTATTCCTTACTCCAATTTTCTCGCATCCTTGCACACCTCCAGTTCTTATCACCAACTATCCTGGTTAGACTGACAATCGTCTGCCAAAGAGACCATACAACCTCCAAGCTAGTCTAGAGCACTACCAATCTCTCTATGGTTGAAGTAGGATGAGAAAATTAAAGTGTGAAAGCACTAACAACAACTACCTTTGTAAAAATGCTAAAACCCCATTTGAACTTGAGATACTCAAGCGACAGATTAAGGCCTGTTTGTAATAGTGGGAGTACACTCCTCAGTCATCTGGCTCTCCAACCAAATCTCTCTCATCTGTCACACAGGAGCTGGTACCTGGTGAAAGTTCATTTGAAAAAGAGAGTATCCTTAAATGATCAGAGGTACTGAGAGAATTTGCATCGTATATAGGGGGGGGGCAGTGGAGGCACAGGAAGAAACCAGAATAGGTGCATCTATTCTCACCCTGCAATGCCTCACATAAATTCTTTCTTCTTCACAACTATAAGGTGAATAGAACCTCCACTCTCTACTATGTAATCAAGAGCAGCAGTCCAAGGGTATGCGGGAGAGCTGGCTGGCACTGCATGAGGCAATGGGGCACGAGATGGCAGCCACTGGTGCCAAAAGGACATGTGAACATCACGGCAATCATGTGATATCTTTTGAACCCAACCATGTGGCTCCCACCCCCACCCAAACTTCCCTGATCACAGATGGGTTCATATTTCACAGGTTCGAGCTGGTGTGGGATCTGGGAACAGAAGGAGGGGGTGGGGCTGAGGGAGGGAGAAGGATGGAGGGGGGAACAGGTGGATGTGGAGTTACCACTCACCTTGCATCAGCTTCACTGTAGTATTCTCTCGCAACAATGTCTTCGAAGAGCTCACCGCCCGTGACCCTGCAAGGTGACACAAACCAGACTTCAACCAACGTTTGAGATTTGTCAACAGGACATTTGGAGAGTATATCACTGTCAGCCTTTCAAGGCAGACCAGACCAGGAAGTTCAAGGTATGCAGGTCAATACTACTTCGATCATAAATGTTTATGGTACAAAATATTGCAGTACTGAATGTAATTCTCCCCACCCTTTTTTCCTTTATCTTCATGAGAAGAAGGATGTGCTTTTTCAAAAGGCAACAGGACTTCCTTGAAGAAGACGCTTCACTTCTCCTCCAAGACGTTTCTTTGGAACTGAAGGTTACTGCATACTGAAGATTCCAAGAAGCGTCTTCAGAACTGAAGAAGCTTCTTGGATGAGAAGCAAAAAATGCTTTCAAGCTGGCAGGAATAGCCAACACTCCAGAAAACAGGCTTAAGATACAGGAGGATCTGGAGAGACTTGAACACTGGACGCTATCTAACAAAATGAAATTCAGTGGTGAAAAAAGTAAAGTTCTACATTTAGGCAAGAAAAACCAAATGTACAGGTATAGTATAGGGGGTACCTTGCTCAATAGTAGTAACTGTGAGAGGGATCTCGGAGTCCTAGGGGACAATCACTTAAACATGAGCCAGCAGTGTGCTGCAGCTGCCAAAAAAGCCAACACAGTGCTGGGCTGCATTAACAGAGGGATGGAAACAAGATCACGTGAAGTGTTAATACCACTTTACAATGCCTTAGTAAGGCATCACTTGGAATACTGCATCCAGTTTTGCTCACCACGATGTAAAAAAGATGCTGAGACTCTAGAAAGAGTACAGAGAAGAGCAACAAAGATGATTAGGGGAGTGGAGGTTAAAACATATACGGTTGCTGGAATTGGGTATGTCTAGTTTAACGAAGAGAAGGACAAGGGGGGACATGATAGCAGTGTTCCAATATCTCAGGGGCTGCCACAAAGAAGAGGCAGTCAAGCTATTCTCCAAAGCGTCTGAAGGCAGGACAAGAAGCAATGGATGGAAACTAATCAAGGAGAGAAACAACCTAGAACTAAGGAGAAACTTCCTGGCAGTTAGAACAATTAACCAGTGGAACAACCTGCCTCCAGAAGCGGTGAATGTGCCAACGCTGGAAGTTTTTAAGAAGAAACTGGCAGCCATTTGTCCAAAATGGTATAGGGTTTCCTGCCTGAGCAGGGGGTTGCACTAGATGACCTCCAAGGTCCCTTCCAACTTTATCATTATTATTATTAATTATTAAGCAAAAATGAAGAAAGTCTAGTTGCCTTTTGAAAAAGCATCTTTGGGACAACCATGACCTGGATGACTGAAAATCTCTGTAGACAAGAAGGGTCTTGTCTGAGAAACTTTCTCTTGTTACAATACTGGCCGGGACTCAATTTTATTTTATTTTATCAGACCGGTGGTCTTCCTTGAGGTTTTTCTCCTCAAAGTTATTCCTCCTTTCCATTACAACCACTGAACCCAACTATTTCTGAAAGACTTGGACCATTTCCTGCAAGTTCTATTCTTCTTTCAGCCTCTTACTTAATTGCCTGGCCCGTGACCCAAAGAAATTGCCATGGACCCAATTTCTGTTCCATCGGGGAACCTCACCCGAGCCAACGTTAAGTCTAGCTTGTTGAGCAACGGCCAAGGCTTGCTAATGTGACAAAACTGTATTTGTTTGGTCAGAAAAGGCCTAACTTTATCTTGAAAGTAAATAGATGTAGTTTAAAATCTCACTGGAGCTATCCCACTCCAGTTACCCCTGGAGATTTTAGGAAGCAGGCAAGATGCTATTTAAATACTCAAAACCAGTGCTTTTTTTTTTTTTAAAGGTGCCGGAACGCACACAAGTCATACAACTTGCCTTGCCTATCCTACAAGGTTCCATCCAAAAAAGGTGCCGGAACTCCGTTCTAGGAGTTCTATGACAAAAAAAGCCCTGCTCAAAACTATGCATTTACTCCTTGCATTCTCTCTCTGTTTTTTTTTGACACAAGCGCCTCATGAAACATCTGAACTCTAGTTGCTGGTGCATTGCGATCAACACTCTAGTTGAAGAAATGTGTGTTAGCTCCCTTTAAAGCAGAGGTTCCCAATCTTTTGGGCATCAGGGACTGGTTCCATGGAGAGAGGTTTTTCCACGGACTGGAGGGGGCAAGGGTTTGTGTGCTGCCTGCATCCCGCAATGGGGCTTTCCTTGTGTGTGTGGACCGGTTGCTGGCGTGCTACAGCCCGGTACTGGTCCACAGACCAGGGGTTGGAAACAGGGGTTTAAAGCAAAATTTATATTTATTATATATTTACATTTATATTGAGGTCATTTGTCCACTTTCTTTTTCTTCTTCCTCTCTTCTCCTCTTTGGGAGAAGTTCTATTTTATCTCTCATCCAGATGGAAGACTAGTTATTTCAGGGCAAGCAATGTTACATCAAGTACAACAAACAAGTAAGAAGTACTGTACCAAAGCCATTTAAGCCATGAATTAAAAAAGGGAAGAAATACAGGTAAATTTAATTTACATAACTACCATTCACTAGGCTTCTACATTTCTTTTTCTCCTTACAAGATATTCTCATTCATAAACTGATTCATATACTGCCTTTTGTTCTTTAACATGTTCATTCTTTCTGAGGATTTCATCAACTCCATCCAATTACAGCTTTCTCAATCTCCTACTTTATTCTTGACCCGTACCACTATTTTTCTACCATCTTAAATTTCTCAAAATATTTTTCCATTTTTAGCAAATATTCCATGAAGAAATTCAACAAATCCGCCTGCTTGCTCTAGTTATGGCATTTATGAGTAACTTGCAACTGTCCATGCTATTTTCCTGGATAACATAGCTATTGATTTTGATATATTAATTTTCAGATCCATACTCTTTATTGCATCATATAATCTATGCTACAGAACATTTGGGTACTCAGCCAACAATACCGGGTCATCCGCTTACAAAACTACATGTACATCCATATTCCCAACAAACACACCCCTAATGTCAACACAAGTGTATCTTATGCGCTTACCCAAAAAAATACACCAAACAACCAAGGAGACATCACACCCTTGTCTTTCACTCAATACTGAATTATTTGCTAAGCATTCCATGTATTCTCCTTACTTCCATCATATAATCTCCTTATTTCATTCAACAAATAACCTTCAACTACATCTTCATGAAAAAAAATCATAATCAAAGCCTATTCATTTTTTTTATATCCTTTCCCTTTCCCCCTCTAAATAAGCTCCCTTTTTAAAACTCCCTTTTTATGACCTATAATCCCTTAGTTCGGGTAGCCTGACCAGAGCTGAGTGTTTACTGGCTGAATGCCCTTCCTGATGCCTATGTGGAGTTCACAGTAGATATTTTTTCTTTGCACCCTAGGAGAAAAGTATCTGCTGCTACCTAGGATTGTACTCTCAATCTTTTGAGTGGGAGGCAAATGTCTTCACCATTAGGCCACCATGCTGCTCCCCTCTCTAAATCAACCAATATGCAATAATATCTCTCTCTCTCTCTCTCTCTCTCTCTCTCTCTCTCTCTCTCTCTCTCTCTCTCTCTCTCTCTCTCTCTCTCTCTTTCTCTCTCTCTCTCTCTCTTACTGTACTTTATTCTTTAAGCTGCCAAATGGTAATTAGTTAATTAAAAACTTTGAGAGAGGCTAAAAGGGAGAAGAGCTGTTATGTGTTAAATAGCAGGATGCCAGAAATGCACAAGAATGATTCCTCTTTGATACAGAAATGTAGAGATTAGGAAACAGAACATAGTGGATATAAAGTTTACAACAGAGACCCAAATGGACAATTCAGCACCCACATCATTACTGCAAGATCAAGTCTTGGGCATTAGAGGCACTAGCGCTCTTCAAACATCTTCGCTGGATGGCCATAACCTGCTCCTTTTCCACCCCCATTTCACACAGATGCTCTTCAATCTGCCAGGTATTCAAGGAACCCAGGTTTAATCCCACAGGCCCGCAATGGCACACAGAATAATTGAAAGAGTATTGCATCTGATGGTCTCTACAGCTGGGCACAGAGCCACCTTTGTCCACAGTGCAGGGTGTACATGGAAGGGAAAAATCTATTGCTAGCTTTCAATTCCTCCTGCTGCAGCCATGGCCATGCCAAGGTCTGTGTGACTCCAAGCAAGGAAAAAGAGAGGGGGGGGAGAGAGAGAGAGAGAGAGAGAGAGAGAGAGAGAGAGAGAGAGAGAGAGAGAGAGAGAGAGAGAGAGAGAGAGAGAGAAGCAGGGGCTGCACTGACTCAGAGGACAGCTAAATATAGTTTGCTGCTTAACTGGAGCTGTCAGAGAGGAGGAGGAGATGAGATCACTGGTTTCTATATCTGGAAATCAAGTGAGAGGCAGCCAAGCAAAGCACACCCTGTCTCTGGGCCTCCCCCCATGGGCAAATACTTTGCCCAGAACATGGCCTACCCCCTTCACAACCAAATAAAGGGCGAGGAATCAAGGCAAGATCACCATCTGGAGCCATGGAGCCAACTTTCTGTATGGTTCCTAGCTGGCCTAATCTGGGTCTTCAAAAAGGATAGAGCAACTCTCCAACCTGCCAGGGTCCCTGAGTCACAGCTATCATCTCGATAGCCTCCTTCCCTGCCCCCCCTTTTGTGCTCATGGAAGGCCTGCAGCTGCAGTCTTCGCCCACCTTCATCCATTAAGATGGTAACACTTGCCCAGCTCTTCAGGCAGCCTGCAAACATTTGCTCAGAAGGTGCTGGAAGGGAAGGCATAAGGCTATCCAAAGCGACCCAGAAAGAGGATGATCAACTTGTGGCAGCCAAAACACATCGACACAAAGAAGCACAGCGGGGAAGACTTATAAAGATGAGCGAATTCCAGAAAGACCTTGGCTGGTCCAGAGCTTCTTCAGAACCAAGTATTACTTACAGATCAAAGACGAGGTAGTGGAAGCCTTCCTCGGATATGCTGTCATGGAGGCGAACTGCAAAAGAAGCACAAGGGGTATGTTACATTGGGCAAAGTACTTCCTAAATTCTGCAGTACCTTTTATTAGCCTCGCCCTCCTTCTGTCTGTTTGATGCACTACATAATCCCACAAATTGCAAGTCCTGGGAGGTAGCAAAATCATAGATACCCACTGTAGCCACAAAGTTCTAGGATTCAGCATCATATCTCCAAGAAAGATATGCAGCAAAATAGGTGCCCTTCAGCCTTCCCTCACCTCCAGAGTCCAAATATCTTGGCATTTTTGCAGTCCCACTGCTTTATCATCTCTCCCACCTCCCCAATTTTCTTGGATTCAAATCTCTGATGCCCTCTGTGATATCTTCACTAGGCTGTTACCTGCCAATAAGCCTAGTTGGAGAGGGGAAAATTAGGCCATAATTTAAATCTGGACTTTCTGGACTAGAATCTAGAGGTCCATTTTATATAAAATCCCATTTTCACAAGCACTAAAACAACCCAAGCAAAACCTGACAGTCACAGATCCTGACCACGAAGGTTTTTTTTTACTAACCTCCATCATCGGCCCAACTTTTTATGAGAGTCTAATATCCACTGTTTTTCAAATTGAACCTATGGTGCTCAATATTCCATTACAGGATCCAGTTATAAATCCTAACAACACAGCATAAAAAGGTGTTTTGAGTGATGGTGAAAATGAAAATGGATTAATGGGATCTAAAACCTGATCCACTAAACATTCAGAAGTTTTTCAAAAACGGATGTCGTTCAGAATTGTCCCAAAGGTGCTGTTTCAAGAGGACTTTGATTTTCTCTGAAGATCTTTTGCTTCTCTTCAGTTCTTTCCAGAACTGAAGAAGCTTCTTGGATGAGAAGCAAAATGTTTTCAAGGACAAAGAAAGAAAGTCCAGTTGCTTTTTGAAAAAGCACCTTTGGGACAGCTATGACTTGGATGACTGAGAATCTCCATAGACATATAATTCAAAATATACCAAAGTACTTAGCCACGTGCACTGGAGGAAGGTGGGACTGTAATTCTAACAAATGCATACATATTTTAACAACGTAGCAATGAATTTAACTTGCCCCAGCTGTTTTTTTTTAATTAATGATTCTCAGCTACATGTTTATTTCAAGATGTCTGAATTTTAATAGGATAGAAGATCTACAGGCATGCCAGTGGTGCAACTCCGTTAAGGAAAAAGCAAAACAAATCCATAGAAATTCAACATTTATTTATTAGCAGAAGATGGTGGGGCAAGGAACATTCTTATAAATACCTCGTATCCCCCCCAAAAAGAGGACTTTCTTGTACCCCATAGAAGCAAAAATTAAACCTGACTAAAAAAATAAAAAAATAAAACTTGTAATGTGTCGAAGCCTAAGTTAAAAACAGAACAGAAGAAGGAACTAACTGGCAGATCACCTAGCACAGTGGTGGCGAACCTATGGCATGGGTGCCAGAGGCAGCATGCGGAGCCCTCTCTGTGGGCACACGTACTGCTGCCCCAGCCTCGCCTCCCCCCGTGACCCCCTCCTCTCCAGCAGCCCCCCTGAAGGAGAGTGGCCGCTCCGCGTGGCCCACACGGAGCAGTGCAGCCAAGGACATGGCAGTCAGGCACCGTAGACAAGACTCTGCCCTCACACCCCATCGTGCACAGTTGATGCTGCACGGCACAGGCAGAGGGCATGACCGCCATAGCGCTGCTGGGCTGCCTGGGCGATCTGCAGTGGGCCCTGGAGGTGGTGAGTGGCCTTGCGGGCAGGGGGGCGGGGCAGGGGGTGGAGCAGGGGGCGGGGCGGGGCCAGTTTTTGGGCACTCAGTCTCTAAAAGGTTCGCCATCACTGACCTAGCAAATAGGGTGTGAGTCTAGCTTGACAGCCTCATTCAAACCAGCAAACTTTCCAAATTCTGCTAAAACTTTACTTATTCCTGGAACACATCCCCTGCAGTATACGTATTCCTGACCTTCCTTTCCCTGCCTGACTGTTGCCCAGATATAGCTGGCTGAACAACAGTGACATACACAAAGTCATCCAGTGTGGTTTCTAGTCTGGAGGAGGAGGGGGCAGTATTTGAACCCAGCTCCCTGCAATTCTAGCGTGAGGTTCTAATTCTACACTGCACTGACTTACATATTTATCTATGAGATCACAAGCAGAAAGAAAAGAGATTGATTCCTGATGTAAGATGGACTTATTCCATAGGTTGAAGAAATCTTTTTGTTAGTATATACCAGGGGCGTCAAACTCAATTTCATTGATGGCCGCATCAGCATTGCGGTTGCCCTTGGGGGGCTGGGTGGGTGTGGCCGGGGTGGGTGCAGCCTACTGGGTGGGCCTGGATGGAGTGGGTGTGGCCTACTGAGTGGGCATGGTCAGCTCTACATTGTTCACGTCAAGGGTGCCTGTGGGGGCCTGGGCAGGAGTGGGACTGATCTGAGGGTCTCTGGCAGAAGGGGGTGGGACCGGGGCAAGCGCCAAGGCATGATCCATTTCTTCATTCCTCACAGAGGGTAACACCTCCCCAGCATGCATCCAAGGGGCGGAGCCGACGCAGCAGGGGCTGGTTCCTCGCTGTTTCGACGGCCTTGTGGACCTACGACTGAATGCGTCCAGCATAGATGGCCACCACAAAATTGTACATTGGCTTCCGGCTGGCCTAGGCCAGGGCCAAGGCAGCGGGGACCGTTCCCTCACTGTTTCCAGAATGGCTTTGCGGGCCACATGAAACCACTTCGGGGGCCACATCCGGCCCCCGAGCCTTGTGTTTGACATGTCTGGTACAGGTAGTCATCGAATTATAAGTCCACAATTGAGTCCAAACTTTCTTCTGCTAAGTGAGACATTTGTGTAGTGAGTTTTGCCCCCTTTCTTGCCACAGTGGTTAAGTGAATCACTTCAATTGTTCAGTTAGTAACACAATTGTGAAGTGAATTTGGCTTCCCCCTGGGACCAATCATCCTTCTTCCAAAAAGAAATCTGAGCTGAAAAAACTTGCAGACTTCAACGTGTCTTCTATGAACGATAATCTGAAGCCATTCCTTGTTTCACATTTATTCTTCCTTCAACCACGGTGTTTTGTTTGAATTCAGATAGGGATGTATTTATGACAAAAAGGGTTAAAACTGACCCTTTCTAGGTTCTGGACCTTACAATGGAACTATTTCTTCAACTCTACTAACAGAATAACAGAGTTTTGGAAAGGATCTTAGAGGTCTTCTAATCCAACCCCCTGCTTCTGCAGGAGACCCTATGCCATTTCAGATAAAGGACTGTCCAATCTCTTCTTGAAAACCCCTAATGATGGAGTACCTACAACTTCTGGAGGCAAGCCATTCCACTGATTAATAGTTCTCACTGTCAGGAAACTTCTCCTTAATTCTAATCTCTCTTTGATAACTTTCCATCCTTTACTTCTTCTGCTGCCTTCAGGTGTCTTTGGAGAATAGCTTGACTCCCTCTTCTTTGTGGCAGCCCCTGAGATACTGGAAGATTGCTATCATGTCGCCCCTAGTCCTTCTCTTTGTTAGACTAGACACAGGGCTTTTTTTCTCATAGAACGCCCAGAATGGAGTTCCGGCACCTTTTTGGGATGGAACCTTGTAGGGTAGGCAAGGCGGGTTGTATGATGTGTGTGAGTTCCGGCACCTTTTTTTTTTTTTTTTTTAGAAAAAAACCACTGACTAGACATATCCAGTTTCTACAACAGTTTGTCATTAATCATCTTTGTTGCTCTTCTCTGCACTCTCTCTGGAGTCTCAACATCTTTTTTATATAGTGGTGGCCAAAACTGGATGCAGTATTCCAAATATTATCTACCAAAGCATTATACAGTGCTACCAATACTTCACGTGATCTTGATTCTGTCTCTCAGTGAATGCAAACCTAAAGGATTTGGGAAGACAGCTAGTCTTTCTCTACCCTGCACATCTTAGTTCCAATTAAATCATGATGTATATACATTTGGGTTTTTTTTAAGTAAATAAACAGACAGTAATAATGATAGCAAGCTGCTGTTGGCAATGTTTACATGTTACTATCCTTGAGACAAACCAAGTCTCTTCTTACCTATAGTTAATGTTAAGCTTGCTTAGTGTTGTGTACACACTTATCTCCTTTTCTAAAAGCACCACTTCAGACTAAAGCACCCCAATGCTGTCAAAAACCAAGGGGAGAAGATTTAGTTTGGCTGCCAAGAATTGGTGTAGGGAAATAAGAGCAGTGAAAAGGAACGTGGATTCTTTCTCTGAAGAATTAAGGGAAAATATGCCTTTCCGAATTTTGCTTCTGCTACCTGGCTTTGGGAGAGATATATTACTCCTTGCTAAAAGGAGGTTAATTAAATTGAAAAGGAGGGGTGGGAGTAGTTGGAAAGAAATGCTGATGTCTTAGAAAGTTTTCCAACCCAGAGGAAATGTCTAGCGGGAAACACAAAAACAGGGCCAAGCTTATAAGCAAGATACAACTGCTGATCTGTCCTCAAATATATTATGGATAATGTCCCAAAGGTGACTACTTTTTCAAGAGTTAACTGGACTTTCTTTGTTTTTCCTTGAAAATGTTTCGCTTCCCATCCAAGAAGCTTCTTCAGTTCTGACTGAATGGTGGAAGATGGAAGGATTTATACTCCTTGCAGTAATCTGGTCATTAGTATTCTTTCTGAGAGTTGTTGCGGCCACTTGGAGGTTTATCTGCACCCTCAGGGCCAACAGGGTAGTTTATCTTAAACCTCCACGTGGCCTCAACAACTCTCAGAAAGAATGCTAATGACCAGCTGTCTGCAAAGAATATAAATCCTTCCATTCTCCACTATTCAGTCAGAAGTGAAGAAGCTTCTTGGATGAGGAGCGAAACCTCTTCAAGGAAAAACAAAGGAAGTCCAGTTAACTCTTTAAAAAGTAGTCACCTTTGGGACTATGACGGATAATGCATTTCACTGCCAATGGCCAGGTCCACCTGCATTGTTACAACTTATATTATGAAGCCCAATGTATGGAAGATTGAATATGACTGAGAGGAATACAAAACTTTTCAACTAATAAGAGAAATCTACTTCACAGTAAAGGAAAGGGTTTCAGATTGGGGGAGATCTCAGAGTAACAGATTTTGCAATGAATGGAAAATATAAGGCACACTGTTTTTTCATATCATATCATATATAGGGATCATGACTCTTATACAGACAATGGAGAGCCTGTCGCAGATCAGGGAATAATTGCAACCTATCTAATTTCACTACTAAACCAGGGGTCTCCAAACTTGGCCCTTTTATGACTTGTGGACTTCAACTCCCAGAATTCCTCAGCCAGGCACACGTGGAGGAATTCTGGGAGTTGAAGTCCACAAGTCATAAAAGGGCCAAGTTTGAAGACCCCTGTTCTAAACCAAATAAGATTAACGCAGCCCATATGACTAATGCCTCCTCACTTTTCCTGACAATGAACACCTAACTTCCTCAAAACTCTCTGAAGAAATTCAGCTTCAAAGCCTAAAGGACTTACATTACACACCGAGACCGAGCATTTCTGTCAGTCAAAGCAAAGCCATGATTTGCTGAGTAAACCAAAATTGGACATCATCCTAAGCCCTAAACTGCTGTTCATAGACGTGAAGGCTGTTTTGCATACTGCATGCCATCAAAAGCAAGCAAACTACCTGACAGTTGCAGGCAATCCAGTCCAATCCACTTTCTGGACCCAGGAATCTTCTGCTCCTGCTGTTATCACCCACCCATATCTGAAGTGCATCTATTTCAATTTCATTGCACAACAAACCGTTTCTTTTCCTTTTGCACTTGTGGCTGTCTCTAAATCTAACCAGAAGGTACCCATGACGACACAGTTTCCATAGAAACTAATGCAATGGGTGGTGGTGGGGGTGGGTGGGGGGGAGAACAGAAGATTTTTCTAAAAGAGCCAAAAAGCCCCATAAGGATTAAAACATAAAAATTAACTGGCATCAACACACTGAGTCCATTAAAGCAAGCAGGAAGTTCAGTTTTAATTGCCTACTTGGCTGAGATGGAGAGGGAGCTGGTCAAGATGATGCTTCCTGGAAGCTCTTCTTCTACCAACTTTGTTGTCATTAGCAACTGCAATGGATTTGCAAAAGTCTTTAAAAGTGGCTCCATGCTGCACTGGGAACAAAGGGGGCAGATTGACCTGTTGATCAAGGAAAAAAATGCACGTCCACCTTTCACAGTAACAATTGTGGAACGCCATCTTTGCATTTGTATCCGGCTTTTCTTCAAAATAAAGCAGAAGAAGGGACGCCAGGGGCATTCACTCAAGTGACAGGACATTTTTCAGACCACCTTGGGAGATTAAATGATGGGAATCTCTATTAAGGGTTTTGCAATAACTATGCGATGCCACAAGAATAAGTCTGAATTTCAATTTCATGAAGTTTGTTAGGAAGGGCCTTCTGAAAAGCCTTAAAAACAGGCAAACTGAGATAAAATAATTCTTCTCCTGGATGCAGAGGAGTGAAGTGGCAAGCCAAAATTTCTTGAATGTTGATCATGGACCGAAATCTAGGGAGATCTCTAGAATAAATAATGCACAGATTTTTGGGTGAGAGCCGTAGTTGGATCTAAAGACTACATTTTAAACTCATCCTAATTTCACAATTACTGTTAAGTATAAATTATTCTTGGTATATGCCAAGCCTTGTTTGAATAATAAATCAAAATTAAGCCATTTTAAAGCCTGTATAATCAAGGAACTAAAAGCAAATAGAAAAAACATTACAGCAGATTTTGACACAACACACACAAACACACACATGCATAGAGCCCCCAAAGGATCAGCAAAGAACAACCTCATTCTATTTTTCCTTGGGAAGCCATTCAGCCTCCCCCAAACTGAATCCTTGCCAGGGGTATGAACTTCAGTTGCTCCTACGCGTTTCTGGATTTAAAGTCTTCACCCTGATTTGAAGTCAGAAACAAATCTGGAGCAAGCAAAAATGGAAAAGGGCAAAATATGGCCCATTTTACTAGGATTTTTTAAAAAAGAAACCCTCTAGATCAGCCGTCCAAGGCAGGTTTTCACAAAGCTGATTAATATCAGTGAAAAAGTCCACAAGTAAAGGCACTATAATATCACACTAGAGTTTATATTTGTGTAGCAATTTCACAAGTATGGTAAGAGAAATCACCATCAAACAGGTTTTTTTTAGTCTCGCATTTTTTTTCTTCACCCTACTACTTAAGAGGATAGCAAAGAGGAAATCTACCACAAAGTTTTTACTGGTTTGACTGGTTCAGTACTCGGAATATTCTTCATATTATTCAATGCAAATTGGCAACTTTAAGATGCATGGACCTCTCAGAATTCTGGGAATTGAAATCCACACATTTTGAAGTTTCCAAGGTTAAGAAACTTTGATATAGACAGTCTTCATACTTACCATGTACATCATCCCATCCCATCTCATCCCCCTCTTCTCCATTTCCCTCTTAACCAAAGAATATTTACCAATATTGGAATGCTTCAGGAGACGGCAGATGCGAGCTTCTCGCTCCAACTTCTGGTGATCTGGAAAAAGAAGAAGAACGCGCATCCTTTAGCATGATGTCTTGGGTGTCAGATCCCATAACATTAGTTTTTTTTAACAGAACATCAAGGAGAGAAATGAGCATTTTTCTGAAGGCAGTCAGTTAAAACAAAAGTCAGAACTACCTTGCTTCCAATATAACGAAAACAGCACCCAACAGAGTAGCTCAATCCACTGCTCTGATAAGCTAGTTTTCCACTTGACTTTTATATTGGGTCAGCATATGATTCCAACTATCGCCCTCCCATATTTAAATAACAAAATCCATTGCATCATATGTGCATTGGAAGAGTGGAGAGAACCTAATTAAAGCATTTAAGATGTTGACAGTGCAAACTTTTTTTGTAAGTTTGTTAATTGAAGCAAAATACACATAGATACATTCCGGAGTAATAAAAACAACGCAGGATAAGTAGCGATAACTAAGTGTAGGCTGTAAAAACAAACAGAGGCCAAGCTGGACTCAGCCAGACTCAGAAACCTGCTGAATAAATGGCCCTTCATTTGGTACTAAATCGAAATCAATATTAGTATTAGCCTGTTATCTTAAAGAAGACATTTCATAAAGATGAAATGCTGACATCTCTATAGAATATGTTGCTTTCCACTGTGTGATACAAAAAGAGGAAAAAAACCAACTCTATTTCAAAGAGATGGTGATTCAGATAAGGATGACTTAAAACTGTTCATTTTAGTGACCATTCAAAAAAGTTACAACAGCACAGACTAAAGTGACTTATGACCATTTTTCACATTTATGACCATTGCAGCATCCCCAAGGTCATGTGATCAAAATTCAGATGCTTCTCCTCTGACTTATATTTATGACCATTGCAGTGTCCCGGGCTCGGCTGATCATCTTTTGTGACTTTCTGACAAGCAAAGTCAATAAGGAAGCCAGATTCACTTAACTAGGTTACTAAATTAACACCTGCAGTGATTTATTTAATAATAATGGCAAGAAAGGTTGTAAATTGGGGCAAAAGTCACTTAACACATACCTCACTTAGCAACATAATTTTTTGGCTTAATTGTCATCATAAGACGAGAACTACCTGTACTTAGGGATCAAATTGCAGGAACAGTGACATGTTCAGCCATTTTACTATTTATTATAGTTCCAATCCATTCAATAATCAAAAGTTTAGTCTATTTTCACTAAATGGATAGGTCCAGCAAATGTTACAAAAACCTTTTCTGAACATGCTGATGATGTATTGCAAATACATAGTTATCTTGTTATTTTACTAAATCAGCTACTCTTGAAAGGGGTAGTTCGATCAAAACTAATCATAGGTAAGATTAAAGCTGTTTTAATAGTCTCTGTTATATTCCCTCTCCGATACTTTATTTTTCCAATGAAATGTGGCTCCCATTTCATTCACACCTAGAAGAAAATAAGAATGGGATTAAGAAAGCAAAGAGAGAGAACTGGTTGTCTCTCAAAACTGGGGGAATTCAGTAGAATTTAGTAGAAACAAAAGGAAGCACTTGGTGCAAGACATAATTAACATGATTTTTCTGTGGCAAGAGATTGTAACATCCACAGCTGTTCTTGAGAAAAAGGCAAAGATCCATTACTTCTATCCTTAGAAGCCTGACTCCTATGTCTCTGCAAACTGAAGAAAAATTATCGTAACTTGTAATTATCACTTCAGTAGGAGCCTAAAAGATGAAATCAGCTTTTTAAAAAAATTCTTCAGCACTCAAATGCATTAAAAATTGTGCCCAATTGTCATAATGGAAGGAAAGGCAGAGTTTATTGCAGTCAGAAACCAGAGTGCAAAATAAAATATGTTAACAATGAAATAAGAATAAAAAACATAAAACAGAATAAGAATGTTACAGTTGGTGGCAAGCTGGACGGAAATGCATATTGGCATAGCAGTACAGGAACTGTCAGATGCCTCCAATTTTATAGTATGGCAATTTCATGTATGTATGTCAAGCAGGTATGTATGTATGTATGTATGTATGTATGTACGTATGTATAGGCATTTTTATTCAAGGTTCAACATGTTTCAGCATAGGATAATAAGAGAATGAAGCTGGCTCCTTACGTCAATTTTATAATATGCCAATCCTTATTTAACAACCACAACTAGGATCAGCAATTTGGTCCTTAAGCAAAGCAGCTGGTAAGTAATACCGCAACTGTGCTTATGCTATTTCTTCAGCTTTGCTTTGCTTTACAGACCTGTGAAAGTTATAAATGCAAAGTTTGGTAGTCAAGTTACTTTTTCATCACTGTTGTAACAGTGAATGGTCACTAAACAAGACAATTGCTAAACCAAAACTGCCTCCCTTCCTCTCTCTCTCTCTCTCCCCCTCTCCTCTATCTATCTATCTATCTATCTATCTATCTATCTATCTATCTATCTATCTATCTATCTATCTATCTATCTACTTACCTACCCACCCACCCATCCACAGTTTTAATCTAAATTAAACAAGTTTCACCATGCAACAATAAAAAGAATTATGCTGGTTCTTCACCTTTTCTTTCTTTCACACTAATGTGTGCACACACATACATATACATACATGAACACAAACACACACAAATGGAAAGGCAGAAAGGCAACAGATTGACAGCTAAGACCACTGCCCAGCATAACAATCAGGACTGCAAGTAAGCGGTCCTCCAGTAAGAATCTGTCCAGAAGATGTGTCTGCTCAGAAGGCGTTCAGTACTTAATTCTCAAGTATATCTGTCTACCTTTAGCCTTGGAAATTTAATCTGTGATACACTGGAAAGTGCATTTCCTAGCTATATGATCTAGACATTATGAGTGAATGAAGCACTGAAGGCAATTATTATGAATCAAGTGAAGCACGATTAAAGGGGCACTGATGCTGCCCAACTGAAAAGTGATCGTAAGAAATATTCATATGGTAAAATATGACAGAGGAAAAATAAAAATGGATGCTCGCTTTTATGTAGGTGATCTAAACCCTCCAAACTACAACTGATCATTTCACGCACACACACAAAATGGTCTTGATTTCTGACCTCCAAATCTTTGTATTGCTCCTTTTTCTGGACACTTCTTTTAAGAGCACAGACTAAAGGTGGCATACACATTTAGTAGTATTAATAAAATGTACAAAATGCTTGAACTGATTTGGGTATTTCCAAGATAGACACTTTCCGTCATGCCAAGCCATGTTGTAGGAGATGACCAGGCTGAGCCAGAGGGAAGAGTCAAACACATCATGAGTCCCTGCGCGCCTGCAAGAGATCTAAGTCCAGCCCACCTTGAATGCCTTCTTATTTCCTGCTCATTTTCCCTTGACCGTGAGTAGTTCAGATTCTTGTAGAGAGCTTAAGCTTGCAATATATCTTTATACTCGTTTGAACTGCCTGAACCTCCGGATTTCCCCGGCACTTAACAAGTGTCATCAATTCTGCTAATGAGCAACCCCACTGATCTGAGCCAGAATTTAAAGGAGTGGGGCTGTGTAGTACAATGTGGAAATGAAGACAGGAAGAAGAGCCGCAAACTAGACAATGGTCTGATGAACAAAATTTGAGTCCAAACGAGAAATTGGGGGGTGGGGGGTGGAGAAAGCGTCTCAGAAGGGGCCCTCCCTAGTTATTGGGAAAATGAAGAGAGCAGTCTGTCTATGGCGGTGTTTCCCAAACTTGACAATTTTAAGGCATGAGGACTTCAACTCCCAGAATTCCACAGCCAGCAATGCTGGCTGTGGAATTCTGGGAGTTGAAGTCCACATGCCTTAAAATTGTCAAGTTTGGGAAACACTGGTCTATGGAGATTCTCAGTCATCCAGGTCATAGTTGCCTCAAGGGTGCTTTAGGCAACTGGACTGTTTTTTTTCTTTACGTAAAAAGACAACCTTTGGCTTCTCATCCCTAAAGCTTGATCACTTGTGACTCACATCAGTCACAACTGATGACGCTTCTGGGATGAGAAGCCAAATGTGATGATCTTCTGCTTCCATAAAGAAGAAACAGTCCAGTTGCTGTTTGAAAAAAAAAAAACACCTTTGAGAAGATAGCAGCACTTTCAGATTTGCAAGACTCTGTTAATGCAACCTTACAGTCAAGATGGACCTATCCCAAAGATGCTTTTTCACGAGGCAACTGGACATTCTTGTTTTTCTTTGAAGATGTTCTGCTTTTCATCCAAAAAGCTTCTTCAGCTCTGACTGGATGGTGGGGAATGGAAAGATTTATACTCCTGCAGAAAGCTGTTCATTTGTGTTCTTTTACCGAGTTGTTAAAAGCTACTGGGAGGCTTACCTGTGTCTTCAGGGTCACCTGAGTAGTGCAAATGGGTGTGGAGCCTTCTTGGAACTGTTGAAAGGACTGTGAAGACACAGATAAGCCTCCAGGTAGCTTTAACAATTTGCTAAAAGAATGCAAATGAACAGCTTTCTACAGGAGTATAAATCTTACCATTCCCCATCATCCAGTCAGAGCTGAAGAAGTTTCTTGGATGAGAAGCGAAACGTCTTCAAAGAAAAACAAGAACGTTCAGTTGCCTTGTGAAAAATTGTCTTTGGGATAACTATGACCTGGATGACTGAGAATCTCCATAGACAAGATAGAACTAGTAATCATAGTTGTGCTTCTTGCCTTGACTACAGACTAAACCTCAGTCTGTTTAATGTCAGACACTAAAGAAAATAGAAATGCCCATTAAGCATTTGGCCACACTTCTCCAACCCTCTTAGCTAAATGTGACACACTTCCCATTTTAAACTTCCTTTCTTTCTTATTTCCAAACTACTGCCTCCCACCCAGGTTTTTCATTTTCCCGCATATTTTTGGAATGTTTGATCCCCTGTCAAAAATCAGGAATTCCTACTCTCTCTGACTCTTTCATCTGTTTTACTTAATTATTTTAATGATGTTACAGTTTAACTGCTATGAGATGCTTAGGGAGCTGATTTAGAACGGTAAATTAAAAATTCCTTTTGCCAAATATATAAACACAGATTGCACCATAATATGTAG